CCTCACACTCATAATGGTTTTAGTGATTACTAATTCAGGGAAGCATACTTTTATTTTCCCGGGAGAGATTCTGCTTTCAAGTTTTTATGTAGTGAAGTTTCTAATACGTTCAAAACTGTTGATGTTCTTGCATAATACTTATGCTTCCTTATTCACCTCTTCAATTCTGACCTTTCCATAGATGTGAGAATTATTGCTTTCCGTTGTCATAGAAATAGCTCTTTTACCGATAGTTGCGTGCATGATGTAGCATACGGCAGATGAACCATTATATTAGCTGATGTTTAAAATGTATGCTTTTTATTATAGGGAGTGAAAACTTAATGTATTTTGTGGCATGATTAATCTTTTCAATATAAGGCTAAATAACAGGTTCCAGCAAAACCTAGTGATTATTCTAAGTGTTTGTCAGCTGACTAGGATGAGTATGGTCTTTTCTTTTCTCAGGTTCTTGTAGGATGCTTACTTCTTTTAGTGTCCTTTGCCGTAGTGTATTTGGGATTGAAAGGCTGCTTATTGCTGAACAACAGTTCCTATCACAGTGTCTTGCTTTTCCTTTAAAGTGGCATGTGTAAACACATACAGGAAATGCCTGAAAATGTGGTTGGGGACAGGTGCTCAACAGCATGAATCGAGTTCTCTCTTTGGACTTCATCTAAAGTCCCCTGAAGACTTTGGAAGTTATCACCTGCAGGTAACGGGAAACAGTGGTGTGTTGTAAGTAGAGCCCGCAGCACTCTTCAGCCACCGATTCTGAATGACGTGCAAGGAGTCATCAGTCAGTGGGAGCAACTGGGGTCTCCCACATCTCTTCCTTTCCTCTCCTGCTCTCCCTGTACCTCTCCATGTGGCCAAGAGGGCAGGGGGACCTTGCTTCTCCTTAAACTGCCCAAATGAGTGTAGGAGACTGAAGGTCCTATCGCTGCTGTACAGCTGTAGAGAAGTACAAATTGCCACCAAATAGTGTGAACCTTGCTCGTTCATGGGAGCAGTGGCACAGCCAGAGGTTGTGGGGTTTTCTGCAACAGATGCCTGAGACTTGCACTTGGACCCTTGTATTTTTTAATGCTGTGGGTGAGATCCTTCTCCAGCTGCTGACAGGCAACTGGAGCTCATCTGTGGATACCTCCATGACTTGGCAGAACCTGCTGTATCATCTGGGGCGTGGACAGCCCTCCTACGATGCTGGTTCCTCTTCTGGGTAACTATGGAGACAGTCAGAAATTGTAATTGCTTGGAAGATTAGCTATGGAAAAGTATGACTTTGACTGCAAGTAACCAGCTCAGAAAACACATGCTTCCTCAGAACAAACTTACACTCCTGCAGAGAGCGCCAAAATCTGTATATATGACTGTCACAGCAGTAGCCAAGTGGTTAAGAACACAATCTTGTGTTTGAAAGATTTCTCTTAATTAAAAAAAACATGCCCAGCTGTAACAAATGTGAGAATGAATGTGGCCTGTGGTTGTACAGGAGGCAGGGCATGGTCGTCTTTTCCTGATGTCAGTTCTACATGGATCTTTCCATATGTGTGGTGCTTTGTAAGTATTTGAAGAAGTCCTTGTCAAATACTTTTTTCCATATTTTTTTGGTTTTAGTTTTCTCCCATCACTTTTAAATGAAAGGGAAATGAGAATGTTATTTTTTTTGTCTGAAGATTTATGTGCTTATCTACATATAAATATATACATTTGTAAATGCAATTATTTGATGTCTCTTCTTATATTTAATGTATAAAATGGTAATGATTTTTGAGTCTGAACCATGAGAGAACAACAGTGGACAAAACTGGTGTCCAGCTTACCAGCTCCTCACCTGCACATAGTATAAATCCAGAGCAGTCTTCTCATCCTATGAACGGGTCTATCCAGAATGGGCTAATGAGGGGACCTGAGCTCCTTGGCGATGTTGCTGAATTGCTCAGTATAGATTCCACTCCACTCTAGAATTTAGGTATAATCAAAGTTTCTAGCTCTTTTGATTGTGAAGAAACATTCAAAGTGTAAACTGATCCTAAGTTTTGAAATGATTTCTTTCCCTTATTTACAGTGTCATAATTGCCAGCCACTTGCAGGGCTGAGAAGCACCAAGAATGATGCTGAGAGTTTTTGAACACTGCAGACTTGCTCCTCTAATAGTAGGGGTCTTTGGGCCTTCCTAGGTTTTGCTTGCAGATGATCTCTGTTATCCTTTGATGAAGTGGATGACCAAATCGCACCAATAGTGTCTCTGTAGAAATATGAGAGGCGCAGAGGGCCTTGCATTAGGCTCTCTGTTCGGGAATGACTTTCATTTTTATAATCCATGCTATTTTTTTATGTTTTTTTCAACTTTTGTTTCTAGAGCTTTCAGCCTTCAAGAATCTTTTATACCCTAATTAGCTTTATTGTTTATATTACTCTCATTCTCTAATTAGAGTAATCGCATCACGGGGGAGTTGAGCCTTTTCTGCTTTTTCTCTAATTATTTTTGTTTTGTCAAGCTGGTTGTTTCCTGCTGCTTATTCTTGTCCATGTGTTTTTACTCTCTACAAATTGATGTTGTCATGTACTAATTGTTTTCACTTTTTCTGAAGACCTTTTCCATTTTTACTGTATTGGCCACTCTTGGCAATCTGTGAGGCTCTACAGTTCCATTCAAAAGTGTCACAACCTATAGCAGCAAGTGTGTCCTGGTTTTTGGCTTGGATAGAGTTAATTTTCACAAGAAGCTGTGAGGGGACATAGCCGGGACAGCTGACCCAAACTTGCTGAAGGGGTATTCCATACCATATGATGTCATGCTCCATGTATAAAGGGGAGAGCTGGCTGGGGAGGACGGATCTCTGCTCGGAGATGGGTTGGACATTGGGGTCTGGGTAGCGAGCAAGTTGTATTGTGCATCACATGCTTCGTATATTCTTTTATACATATTGTTGCTGTTATTTTCCTCTTTCTTTGCTGTCCTAGTAAACTGTTCCTATCTCAACCATGGGTTTTACCTCTTTCTTCCAATTCTTCTTCCCACCCCACTGGCAGTGGGTAGGAGTGAGCGAGCAGCTGTGTGGTGCTTAGCTGCTGGCTAGGGCTAAACCATGACAGTGGGAATAACAAATGTGCAAAAAGAACAGCATATAGTGTATATTATTTGGAACCTTTGTCATGGAACAAGTGACATCATTTTGTTTAACAGCAGAAACAGCTAATCAGTTTTTGCAGGAGTTAAATTTCTGAATGTACAAGTTCAAGGTCCACTATCAGAATTTATATTAAAATTTCCTCCTTTGGATGCAAACTTTGAATGCAGTGGGATGCTGGGATTAACAAGGAGCATATGAGTGATGCTCGGTGAGCATGCGTTTAAAATCCTGAGAGTTTTTTTGCTGTTCTTACGGATTTCATTTTGTGAAAGCTCTAGGTAATCTATTACATCTAAGGCTATGATAAGATTAGAATAGCACTCTCTTCAAAATACCAGAGTTTCTCCACTTAAACTTTTTTGTGAATGATATTCTCCTATTTAACAAAGGAGGCACTTTGACACCTTCAGAGTGTGCAAGCATCTCTTCACAGATAAAGTGTCAGTGCAATGTAGCACCTGAATTGTAATCTGCCCAACATTTGCCCCGAGGTATGGGATAATTCAGTCTCTAACTCATTCATTCTCTTCTGTTGAGACTGCAAATGCAGTGCTTACAGCAGAGTTTGAACAAGTGTTGTAGCCACTCAAGGCTGAAATAACAATATCTCATTACTCCACACCTAGCACAGCTTCTGAATGATAACACAACTGAACAAGCAAGCTGAAGCATTAACTGGAGGTTTTAATTTTACAAGGTCTGAGTTCGTGCATACCTCTACAAATTGCAAGAAATTCCACTATCTTACATTGTGTTATGAAGTTAAATGCACAGATCCTTCTTTTTTGAACTGGCCGTATATGTATAAGAATGAATTGCCAGTCACCTTTGAATATTTAGTTGTTTGCCTATGATTTTATAATTTCTTTCCTCTCACAGTCTAGCAATAGCAGAAGACATTTTAGGTTTCCTCTAAGTGTCTGTAGGAGTAATGAGATCTGCATATTGACTGTATGTCTAGCAGACTTCTTTGGGACTTTCTGGTTGTGGGTGGCTGCAATTTTGAATGGAATAAATCTGAGCATGTCAGAATAATGGTGGTTTTGATGGGAAATGTCTCTGGAAGAGCCAGGTCTTGGAGAGTGCTCTAAAATAGCTCAATTATTTAATGTCTCCCAGAAGCCTGCCCCAAAGCTAGACCCCTGTGATTGTGCTTGATTCTTTTTGACTGTTTCCTAAGTTTTGGGATTTATATTTTAGCAAAAGGCTTCTTAACAATGCTAAGCTGCAATATGGCAAGAAGTAGCTTACTCTCTGTTAATTATCTGCAGCACCAGGACCAACACTTGACAGAAACTCTTTGGAAGGGATTGTGCTGCAGGGATGAAGTACTTGCACTTTAGATAAAGCTTTCTTCCCTCATACAAAGGGTGCTGGGGTGGTTGTAGAGACTTTGTAATCCACGTCTGAAGTGATATTTGTGGGACTGAAATGATCCTATTATTTTATGTTTTATGAAGTATATTAATATGAACTTACATGAATATATGTAATTATTTACCTTAAGAATTTTGGCTCACTAATATTACAGTGCAGTTGTTTCACTGTAAATTTAGGTGTCTAAAATATAAGTGTCAGTTAGATGTCTATTGCTCTTCTGGCATTAAAAGGTAATTTAATTGACTATTTTAGGTACCACTTCTAGGATAAGATAAATTTATCTTATTTTATGCAGTAGAGTCCCCCATAACTATAAGGAAGTAACTACCATGAATAGTTCAACCTTCATTTAGGTTAACACCATTCTTAAAGAATATTTAACTAATAAGATGCACTTGTAGCAAAATATTGTGTAGAACTGGAACTGTAGCAAATCATTGTACTGCAGATTTACTGTTCTTTTTTTTTTTTTTTTTTTTTTTTCATCTCCAAAGATATAACTTCAACCTTTCCAAATTATTCAGCTCAAGGTCAAAAAACACTGAGAAGACACCACTGCTGAAGGTTTCCTCAGAGGAAAATGGGTGAGTTTGCTTTCATTTTACTTGAATTTTTTTTTTCTGAACTCTCTTCTATGTAATTGTGCATGGTTCGTTCTTATATCCTGACACCAAACCTGCTGGGAAATAAAGTGAATGTCAGGGGTTGTGAGCAGACAATGACTCTGGAGGACCCTGAGTGGAAAGAAAGGGCTGTAAATGGGGAAAGGAAGGACGTCAGGTCTGAGGTCAGAGTGATTAGAGATCCCTAAGGATAGGCATCTGAAGGTTGTGTGCTCTTATTTCCTCCATGTCATCTTACATCAGGTGCACTGAGAGACACGGCAAAGCTATAGAAAGGGTCCTTGTAGGGGGTTTTCACAGCAAATCCTGAAATACATCTGCCTGGCGCATCAGAGAGCTGGTTCTCCCAGGTGCACCTAAATGCCATGGGGCCTTTGCTCTTGCTCCCCAGTCTACCCAGCCGTGTCACCAAGGGGAGCTCAGTCTGCACTGAATAAATATCTTTCTAGGAACTTTTCCATTAACATCTTTCACAGGGAACCTAAGGATATGCAAGCTCAGTTGCATCTACTACCTGTTGAAATAAACTACTGTTTTGTTTTATTATGTTTACTGAAAATGTGTAACAGGTTGCAGTGCATGGCTCTTCATAATCCAGATTTTACCACAGATGATGATTCATGGGACAACAGCTCTGCAGAATTTGAGCAAAGGTTTCAACTGGGAAGTGAAATGACAAGTTTGTCCAGATCTGCTTCTTCTGAGAAATATGAAATCTTGGACAACCTTCATGTCAAATTCAATTTATCAAAAATAAGGTCTGAATTCAAAAGTTCATTTATTTATTTTTCCATTCTTTATTTTTTTAATTTAAATTTCTGCAGGGATTAGTTTTTAAGTACAGATGTCTAGAAAACCATTTATTTTCTGCAAATGAATAAAATGACACTCCATATTTAGGCCGTATCTTGCCATTGATAGTCGATAAATAAACCCTGGTGAAATTGATTATAGCCTCTAGCTAATGATCAATAGCCCCTTGTTCTTGCAAGCATCAGACATAGCAGCTATTCTAAATTTGTAATTATATACCTTCTGTATTGCTTTTAACATTTCTTTGAAGCCATTTCTTAAAAGCCCCTTGGCTGATTCCACAGCTTTATTCTTCACTGTTTTGTTGCTTTTATGAAATACTTCACTTTAATTAAAAAATGGATCTAACACAGCCTTTCTGTAGTCATTATAGCAGCTTTTCACATATACACAATGTAAAATCTAACTGAGCATTTTTCTGTCTTTAAGTACATTAATATATTTCACTCTTTAGATGTAAAAGACTACCTCATTTAGGCATGGAGGAAATTGAATCTGTCAATATATTAAAAGATACCAATGTGATAAGAGCTTAAGTTAAAATTTTCTGAGGATATTTTTGCCTGGGATTTAACCAGCAAACCCTTTAATCTTGGATACTAATTCTCTCTGCCCGTTCCAGAGTTTCAACAGTTTTTTACTAGTTTGGTCTGGCCTCTGCAAATAGCTCTGAAGATTTGCATGGAGCCCAGCACTGCGTGTCCGTGTCTCCATGTTGATCCATGGAGCATTTCAAACGAGATGCCCGTGCATCTTTTCCCAATCTGTATGTTGTCTTAGCTCATCACTTCGCAATTGTTTGCCTCCTTTCATCGTGCATACTGTATTGTGTAGAGTGCCACTCTCCTGGACTGCTGCTGAACAAATGGAGCAGGAGAATTTCAATGGCTGCAATTAGTGCAATATGAGCAGATGTGAAGAAGTTTGGCAGGCGTCTTTCTTCACGCCCGCGGTAGCTTTCCCTGGTAATTGACGGAACAAAGGCATCAAGCGGGAGCGTAGAATCCATTGTTTCCAGTACAGCGTCATTTTATAATCTGGAGAGGAGCGCATTTCTCTGGCAAACCTTCCCATGAAATATTTTCATAGCGATGGCGTGGGTTCTACATATGGGGCCAGCTCCTTGGCTGCTGTAATTCAGCATAACTCCGCCAAGATAATAAATGGAGCTAAACTGCTCGACACCCCATGCAGATCAGACTAAAAATCATTCGGTTTAGAACAGGGGGTGAAATTCTTCATAGATTTATACTTCATACATTTCCAACTGAAGTCAAATAGGATTGCGACAGAGGCATATATATCAGCGCGGGATTTGGCACAGGGTTTGTACTTGCGTTGCTGTGCCAGATTAGTGCCGTAGGAAGAGACAGATTGCAAACCACGGGCGAGTCAAAGGCTGATCGCTTCTCAACTGTAAGCTGTTAAAAGCGCTGCTTCCCTAATACAAAATGCCATGAAAACAAACAGACGGGAGGAAAAGAGCCTTCTGAATTCTATGTTTAATGAAATAACCATTTCCAAAAGCTTTTTTATTATATCTTGCCAGCTCCTTTAGATGAGTTTCTGTTATTTACAGACAAGTGGTTATGAATTTATAAAGGCCTAATTAATGCTTTTTGATTTCTTTTATGTCTTAAAAACAAGTTATTGTGGTTTCTTATTTCAATAATAATTTGAATTATTACTAGAAATGATAATTTGGAAGTACAAACAGAAAATATCAAGTACCTTAAAACTAAACCGATCTGGACTGGGCCTTAATAATTCATAACATAACAAATTCTCAAAAAATACCAAAATAGAACTGTAATGCAGAGATGGGGAGAATAGACAAGCAGGATAGAGGGTGCATGATTAAGCTGGCACTAGGTATTTTCCATAAATCCTGTAATACCAAAAGAAGTTATCAGTTGTGAGGTGCTGATACTGGCTTTTGTTGTCATTCCTCTCTTTTTCAAGCCTTTATTATCTTCTTCCTCCCTCTGCCACCTTGTTTTTCTGTAGAGCGGGGCTACCTGGCATTTCTGGAAGAAGTCACCTAATTGGCTTCCCCTCTTCCTCTGCCTTCTTGAGATTTTTCTGCTGTGCAGTTTGTGTAAAGTTGCAACCACTTGTATTTCATAGGATATTGTAGCCCCTTTATACCAGTTTGTCTGTGGCAACATATTTTTATTAGCTGCTGGTTTGGGGTTTTTTTTCTTCCTGTTTGAAGAATTCTAAAGAGGAAGTGATCTTTAGAAAACAATGTTTTTTGAAAATAGATCTCCAGTCACTCATGTTGCTTTCAGTCAATGAACTTGATTTAGGGATTTATTTCCACTGTGATTGAAAATTATTTCTGACTCTCTTCAGACTTTGCTTTAATATTTTGTTCCATAGCAATTGTCAATGCAGCTATTTATTGCACTGTTCCCTTCTCAACTAATTATCCTAGTAACTTGAAATGTTTTCCTTCTTGCTTGTCATCAGGCTTAAATCAAACCTTACATTTGTCATTCTGTCAGAAAAGCAATGTTTGAATGTTTACTTTTGAAAAAATGGAATGAGAACATCAATGCCTTCAATTAATGAAAAGATGTAATAAGGGCAAATCACAAAAAAGGGTTCTGTAAATTATGACATCTGTGTAACACACTGATGGGCAGCCAGAAAATATTTAGTTGAGAGTTGCCTTTTATGGTAAGATTAAAAAAATGGTAATTTAAAAGTGCTAAATCTTAAGATTTCTTACTCGAGAGCATGCATTTTCAACATCCACATTTTAATTTAGAATTATTCTTGCTTAACCCACTCAGTAGTAAGCTCTGACACTTCAGAAGATTTGATGTCATCAAATCTCCAGAACTGGGCATTCCTTCAAAGGGCACAGATGTGCTATGGAAAAAAAAAATCTAGTTTTGCTAGTTGGTTTATCTAGAGATGCTCATGAAGTATATGTGCTTTAAAGAGACACTATTAAACCCAGGAGATTCTTAAACCTTGTTCTCGTCCTCAAACCGTCTTTTCCAAATACCTTTCAGAAAGTATATTAGAAGTCCAGTTTTGAGGAAGTCATTCATAACACCACCCCTCTATGCAACAATCTACGTTTTCTGCTCGGCCATGCCACCTCCCTGTGGTGGCAATGCTCCTTTGTGTCCCTAGAGAAACCAGGGGCTCTGGGTCTGTCGGGGGCCAGCAAGAGCAGCAGAGAAGTGGCTCCAGGTCCCAGCACCAGCTCATGCTGCAGCCCAAGGGGTAAAACCTCCTTCCCCTGCAGTGAGACCCAGCTGGCAGCAGACTTGGGGCAGCAGATCCTTATAGTCACGGAGGCTTCTGAAGCCCCTGCTGCACTTGTGTAGTGGTGTCCATATCCTGACGTGGTATATTATCACCCATAAGTGCTCATCATGATGCTTCTAAAATGTCAGAGATATTAAGAGAGCAGAATAGATTTGTTTTAAACTAGCCATATACTAAATACGTGTTTCTTATGTTTCAGGTGCTGTCTAAAATTCCTAAAAGTTTCAGGCCTTTTTGTCTTTGTAGTTGTCTGCTCTGTAAGTATTGAATTTGCAATCCTCCCTCCTCCCACCCCCCAGTTCCTTAGAATTAGTTCAAAATTAAGTGTGATATTTGGTCTTAGCTAATAAAAAGATGTCTCTGGGTGGGGGCAAGACAGCAAAAAGTGAAAAACCTGTGCAGGGCTTTGTGCCAAATCAGACCACTGTTTGATGCACTAGCCATCACTTGGGACAATGTGGTAGGGTAGGCAGTTGAATTTGAGGAGGCAGCTTAAACTCAAATTTGTATGTCCTTAATGGTTGCTCGTTGAATTTAGGAAGAATCTTTAGATATTGGCTAACACCTGGGTAATATTCATAGGACAAGCCGTGCCGGGGAGGATGCACCAGCAATGTGCTCCATGGTGTGAAAAGCAGAAGGCCACGGGGAGGTAGGCAGCTCCCTACCAGGGCTGCCCAAGTGCTGCCCTCCCCTAAAAAAATCTTCAAAATCAGCAAAATCTTAGACTGCAAGACTTGAGAAACATTTCAAAAAGTTGGATTTTATCCTTTTAGCTGCTGTGAGGAACACTTTTTTGGCTAGCAGGGCTTCTGTATCGGAGACAAAAGAGATGACAAGTTTGTATTACCTCAGATGTGGGTGTTGATTTCCAGAGGGATCCTTAAGGTTACAACTTTGTCCTAAGAAACACTTGGATAAAATACATTGAATGTGTGACTTAGGCAGTAAGTTTACAGAAGTAATATTATTCATCCTTATTAAGTATCCCAGGGCTGCTTTTCAACTGTAGTGGAAACATACCCGAAAATACTGAAAGCAATCTTACAATTTAATGTGCAGTTTGAAAGAGTCATATATAAGTATTTAAGATAGGTTTAGCAGGCATTTTTCAGTTTTTGTGTTATTAATGAATGCTTGGTTTTTATCCTTGCCCTAGATTTTATTTTGCACTTATCCAGATCAAGGTGTGTCCTGGCAGATGTTGGCTGTATCACCTCTGGAAAGCTTCTGTATCCTTCTTTCATTAAAAAAAAAAAAAGCCCAGAACTGAAGTTTCATTGATAAACTGGTCGAATGGGTGGGTGTTTTCTGTGTTATACCCTGAGAGGACTGGGTGTCCTCAGAGCCTGGGCTGCACTTAGACTTGTCCTTTGATGCTAGGCCTAGCCTAGCCTACTCATACTGAATGGTGCCTGCCTGTGCTGCCTTGTGGTGCTCATCCAGCCCTTGTGTCCAGCCAAGAGTGTGGAAGTGGGTGGCAGAGCCGGTGGGATCAAGGCCCAGCAAAAAGCTGGGACCATGGCTAGGACACGCACTTGGCTGCAGCAACTGCACCCCAGGCCAGTTGTATACTGTTATCTGTAATATATCTGTAGGGTATACTTGGACTGTGATGCTACCCAGTGAACTCTTTCAAAACCAGGAAACTATATGATTCATGGATATGTTTCCAGAACAGCTTAGCCCAGCCATATGTATGGATTTGTAGATCTGTAGATATCTTTTTTAGTGGAGGTGCAGATTCTTTTACAAATTTTCCATGCAAAATTGCTCAGTAGTGAATTTAAGTCTACAGATTGCCAAGAAACTGTTAAAAAGAACAAGCAACAGAACAACCCAAAATAAAAATGATTCCTTGCAGGTGAATGCAGACCTGAATGTGAAAACTCTTTGAGGGATGAACACTCAGTAAACAAACAAAAAATTTTGCAAATAAATTACATTTCTTGTTCCTACTATATTTCTAGTTTAATCAGTCTGCTCCTCAATCTGCTTGGCTCTTATTTCACCAGTGTTAAAAGATGATTCACATGCAGATATATTTCACAAGCTCCTGAGAGATGTCTTGCTTTGAAAAGGTGCGGTAGGATTTAATTTTTGAAATGCTGATTTTTTCTATTTAACTGGGCAGTTCCATGGCTTTGAACAGGGAGAGTCTATTTTAAATAGATTTGATTATTAGCATTCTCATTGTCACCAATAATGACACAATATAACACAATAATTAGTAGCATAAATGAGGAAGAAAAGGTTAGTGCTTGAGGGGCATTTATAATTAAAAGTTGAGATTGCTTTTTGGAGGAAAGCAAGTGAACATATAGTAGGACAAGTGACAACTAAAACTGTAAACTCCCATCAATATCCTGTTCACATAAATCTTTTTGTTCTCCTTGAAACTGTTGGGGAAGGCTCCTAGATATGTACAGTGATGAACAGCACCAGGGCTGTCATGGCCCAGTATGCCAAATGAGAGTGTACTGGGAGCAAGTCTTTAAGTTCAAGTTTTAGTCAAGTGTCATAGCATATCTTGAGAATTTCCTCTCTTTCCACAGATTTTGGACTGGAACCATAGATGCTACATTGTACACATTGACTCTGCAACCAGTTATTCCTTTTGTTTGTTTCAGGGAAGTGCTGGTGGGACTGGGATTTGAGTACAAACAGCTGTTCCTATATTTTACATTTTACCTATCATGTCAGGATGCTTTGAGCCAAATAGCCATCAGACAGTCAGAATATAGCATTCCCATTTCTTACTGGACAAACCTGGGGCTGGAGCTTCTTAGTTTGTGTCATGTGTGTTGAAAACTGGATGTTCTGTCCCCTATCTGAGGTCACTGAGCTGGGAAAAAATATGTGAGAGGCAAGCAATCCAGCAAAGCCATGCTTCATTTTCAAGGTGAGGTGGTAATTCAAGAAGAAGGGTCAAGGAGAAAGATTGAATTTCTAAATAAGGTTTGGAAAAGCAATTCTGAATGTCATCTCACTGTTGCTACCAGTCTTCATTTGCACAGAAGTGAGCTCACGTGGTTGTCCTCCACTGTGTTGCATAGTGAAGAAAATATTCACTTTTTTGGCTAGGCTTGGATAATGTTAACCATTCACACAGCAGTGCTGAAGATGTGATTTATGCTGGCCGACAGCCTGCGGTATTCCCAGTGGATGTTAGGCACTACTCTCTGAATGTCTATAAGAATTTCATGGTAGGATGGCGGGTGTGCTGCAGTAGTCCTTGTCACAAAACCCTTAGAGGCTATTAGAGGAGACTGCTTTGGGTGGAAAACAAGTCTCTTGGCTCATATGATGCCAATTTATGCAAATGAACATTCTTTACCTCTTGCTCATGACTCAAAAGCTGTTAAGAAATGTTGAATGGGTACTAACCACTACATACTTTAAAAAAAAAAAAAAAAAAAAAAATCCTTCCTGTCATTTCTATTTCTTTCCAGAAAAGCCCATGCCCATTGATGTGTGTGTTATGGATGCATACTCATGCACACAGTGTGTCTGCATACACTAGAAAAATAAAAACAAAGTTTGAAATACTATTAAAAACCAAGTGATCCCCTTTGGACTTCATATCCTTTGTCATCCTGGTGTCACTTAGATATTTGTGGTTTTTCTGTCATGCCTATTACACCTCAGGCTTGCTCAAAGGCAGGACTTTTTGTTTCTGGTGCTGGGAGAGACCTGCATCAGCTGACATAAGGGTGACCTGTTTTTCATATGACATGTCTTTAACATTTTTCTGCTTGCTTTAGTTCCTGTTTGTTTGTTTCTATACCTTTATCTCTTGTTTGGATTTACTCTAGCTGTCTTTCTTTCGATTACCTTCTTTTTTTATTAGCCCACTTGTACCTCCCTTTGCTTTGCCTCTCCCCATGAATACAAACCTGACATGTGGCACTGAGGTGTGTTGGCTGCAGTTTCTGAAAACAACATCTTGCCTCCTGTGAATTAATAGAAGATTTTGAGTCTGTCATTTTTTTATATACTGATTTCCCTATCAGCACCAGATACAAATTCAGTGGATTTAGTATAGTTTTTCAAAACAGTGGTAATATTGTTCCTTTCAGACAACACTTGGGATTTATTGCCGTATAAATTCTAACAGTCAGCTCTCTAATACCAGAGAGAAGTAAGTTTATACTGAAGCCTGGCTCAAGGACCCTTTTCTACAGGAAGCAAGATTCAATACCCTTATTGATGTAAATGTGTGAAGCATTTTCAGATATTTTGCTCAAAGGCTGTATGTTAAGTGGGGAGCATCAATAATTAATAAGAAGATGTGCCTTTGGAAAGCGGAGTACAAAAATAGAAGAAGAGATATAGAGTCTGAATAAATTCCAGCATTTCTTAGTTTAGTTACATGTACCTGTTCTAAGACATGAACATTTTATTTTCTGTAATTGTTTGGACTTCAAACCTTCAGGTAACTTCTCTCCATTAACTGGTTGACCAAAGAGTGAATGAGAAATATTTTTATTCTTCTCCACAACTTACATAAGTTTTCAGACTCAAAGAATCTTCTGAAATGCTAAATATACTCCTTCTTTTCTAATAACTTCTGCCCTGATCTAAGCAAATTTTAAATTTTTCTCCAACAATGGGGAAGAGACAGCTGGAGCAGAACTGTGCATTAATATCTTGAATTGAACTAGGCTTTATGAAATTAAAAAGTAATGGGGATTCATGGATGCTATTAAGGAATTATACAATCAAACTGTAGGCTACCTCGCTATCATTTAAAGAAGTGTCTGTCTCCCTGATACAGTGCCTTCTTTTCTTTCACTCTACCTGATACAATTATTGCTATTTCTACACCTCTCAATAGTAGAAATATTTTCTTTTTACAAGAAAAGATAAATCTCCTTCCAGCACATTTCTGTGCAATGGGTCTCACTTAAGATGTTGAGCTGTGAATTTCCATCCTTACTCTGTCCCTGACAAGTGTTTCAGTAACAATCTTGTTTGCTTCCCTCTCAACCTCTGTACTTGTGCCAGTACCTGTTATAGGTGAGGGAAAGATAGATCAATCTAGGTGAAGTAATTTCATTTCCATTTTTCAGACTGATTGTCAGAACTTCCTTCTCTTGGACCTGAAACCTGATAACTGGGGAGTGGATTGTGAATTCCTTCTGAGTCTGGCCAAGGATCTTGCATTTTTATAAATATATTTCAAAGCCTTTCAGTCCTGATCGGATTGTTTGCTTTAAATGTTTGATATCTCCTCAGCAAAATTTTTAGAGCAAGGGCTGACATTTTGCAAGGTATATATTTGCACAGCACCCAGTGTAAAGGGTTCCTTACTCACTTGCGCTTTACGTGCAAAACAAAACTTAATGAAAATACATCATCTCAAGTCATGGCTGAACGGGTCTCTGGTCAGTCCGAATCAGACAAAACCAGAGATATCAAATTGTCTAGTTAGTGGCTATTTTCTCTGACTTACCTTCCTCCTCAGTAGCTCTGAGACATTTCATCACATCCAGCCTGAGATTAAGATCTCAAATTCAGAAAATAGAAAGTGTATCTCAATAGCAATAATATGTTGACATTTACATCACAGGCTAGATTTCTCATTTCTTTTGGATTCAATGGAAGTATTTAGAACAACTTCCAATATGGAAGTTGATGGGGAGGCTCTAGACTGAGCAGACATAAGATGGGTAAATGTGCTGACCTTATTATCAAATTCCTTGCTGAAGGTGCATGAGTTTGAATGATTGGTGCAAATGAGCAAGAAAAGGTCTCTAGGAAAACTTGTAATCATGCCATGACCATTAGTGACAGTGGAAATTACCTTTCCCACTCCCTGAAGCAGAAGTATACATAGAAAGAAAGACTGTGAACAAAGAATATAGTCAGATTTTAGCAGATTTTCAGATTCCATGGAGGTCCTAAAAATGAGTTCTCCCAGGAAGCATAAATTAACATAATGAATGAAACCACCTCTCTAATACCTTTAGTTCTTTTTCCCCCTTGATTTTTTTTTTAATTTTGTAACTGTAGTTCTCTGCTGTCAGACACTCCTCCGTCATTTTTCCTTGCAGAACACATTTAAAAATCATTTATATTTGTTGTTGCTTTTGGAAACTTACTAAGAATTTTGGCCTGCAAGCAATGTTCCAGCTGCTAAGTAGATGGATGAAGACCAGGACCACATGCAGAGGCAGGCAAAGAAGTGGAATGTCAAGGCATCATTGAGAAAATGCTGTAGAAAAGAGAGTTTGTTAAGGACTCACATAACTTCCAGAACTGATGGAGCACAGAGAGGAAGGATGGATCCAATGTAGCAAAAAATGGAACCAGACTGCTGACACTCCAAAAAAGAGAAAAAAAAAAAAGTTATGGAGCATTCTTCAGACGGGGAAACCAATAGGTATAGAATGGCATGTGGTTCAACTTGGTAGATTGTGAAGGGATAGTGTAAAAACAACCTCATAAGCTACAAAGAGGGATAGGACATCAAAAGAGAAACCTGCAGATCTGTTTCTGCAGATGATGCAGAAATAACCTCAGTTAAGGACAAGATAAAATAAAAATAGATGTTAAGACACAGGCAAAATGCCTTCTTTAAAATGGTAATATCCTAGACAAACTAGCATGAGTGACCTTGTCATAAATCATGATCAATAGTATATAAGCACTTCAGAAACATACTATTCTCAAGGTATGTTTTACAGTAGGCAGAGTAGGTGCTACAAGTAGATGTTAAAGAAAGCATAAAGTCAGCCATTTGCATGTAAATATAACAGAGAATCTCTGTCAATCATGGCTTTTCAGCTGGTTCTGTACATACTGAATTAATGGCATGATGGGGGGTAGAGCAGGGACTCAGTATTTAGGGTGTGACTCATCTCAGCTACACCTGAGTTAGTCATCCTAGACACTTTTTAGAGTCAGAGAACTGATGCTTCTCATGAGTGATTCCTCTCATCTTTGTGTGGCAGTTTAAAACGAAGCAATGAATTCCATCTTAAAAGCACTCTCTTTTCACTGATTTTAAGGAAGTAACCAACTCAGATGCAGATGTCCAAAGTATAGAAGTATAGACTGTGGTGAATGAATACCAATTTAAATGTTTAGCCACTGCATCCTATTCCATAACGTTGTCTACTTAAGCTACAAAAAAGTAAAGTGACATGAGGTGACTCTCACACACCCTTCAATACCTTCTAGGAGCAGCTAGTCAGAAAACTGAGATCAGAAAAAAACAGCTCTTGGTTTAGCTCTGAGCAGTGGACCCAATCTGGTGCCAGATGTAAATACAGACAGCCACTGTGCAATGGTGCACAAAGCATAGACAACCCCAAATCCCTTGACAGGGTAATTCACAGCAGTAATATAATTTCAAGAATGGAACTACATAAAAATGAGGCATCTTAGCTGAAGTGAAATAAAAAATAACAGCTCTGGCTGTAAATCTTGTCAAGGAATGTTTTGCTTTAAAGGTACATATTGAAGGTCACATTAAAAAAAAAAAAAAAGCTCAGAAAATATAAAAAGTCCCAGCATGGTTAAGTTGCAGAATAAAAGGGGATATTAGAAGTAAAAAGACAGTTTTCCCAAAAGTTAGTCACATCTGAATGATTAAAATATAGAGGAATTCACATTCTAGCAATTTAAGGGAAATATAAAACCAAGATATGGCAGAACAAAAATATTCTGAAGAGCAGCTTGATAAAAAAAAAAAATCACATTTTGATTAATATAAGCATGACTAAAGTTTTTTCCTGGTTTATTTTGATTCCACCTTTCATAAAGGCTGTGATCTGCTGCAGTCTAACAACAGAATTATGACAGAGTCTCTACATATTGTTTGGAGAAAGATAACTCTGATGGGATTTCAGAACCTCAATGCAGACCGGTGAATGATGTTCAGTTCCACTTGCAATCAAAGGAGAACCTGTTTTGCCAGGGCTCTTTCTGATGGTTTTACAAATACACAGAAAGGAATGGAAAAACATCTTAAGTATCCTCATCTTTATAGGAAAAGAAGGAAAGAACCACTCTTCTTGAAAATACGATTTTATTTCCCCCCCTTTAATTTTAAGCATCCTGTATAATAGCTCCTGAATGTATCACCTAGGTAATTACAGGATTTATTTTAAAAGTGTTGCTTAAAAGGAAGCTGCCATAATGACATGCACCTGAAGCTTTTCAAGACATAAATTACTGGCTACACTCCTAATAAGAGGTAGACTGTCAAGAAGTGTCCCAAATCATTGGGTTAATGACTTGAGGTCAACAGGCCTTTTAGAAGGTATAATTAATGTTTCTAGTTAAAGGTATAGCTATAGTTCCAGTTGAGATTAATATTATGTATTAATTAGGACACAGAAAATCTGTGATGCCAAATCACACTGAAAACCTTCAGAACCATAAGAAAACTGTTGTAATTTGTTTTTATGCTTGCTAAGGGCCATGTGTGTAAATTCTTCTGACTGGAACTGGTCTCCTGATTTGTTCCATCTGAGGTTATTTTTGTCCTTTCCTGTGCGAGTCCTTAAGCAAATAGGTGTTTGGGAGGTTCATTTCTAATGAATGGCACGTTAACGACACTGGTGGTGATTGCTCTGCTCACCGTGCTAAGCAGGGTAGGTGACATTTATACTACTTTGCAATGCATTGGCTACTCACCTGCCACTAGATCTGCTAGGATCTTTTTTGGGTTTGTGTGAGAGCCATCTCTTCTTCTAGATCCAGTTCTCTTGCTGGGAATGTGGGCAGAAGCAACAACTCTTTTTAAGATGAATGACCCCTGCACAATGCTACAAAGCTTTCCTCCTTAGAGCGTGGTCTGCCATGGATGGCCTTACTGGGGCTCACTGGGAAACAGGGCACAGCTCTACACTGAGTCCCCTCTAACTATACTGTGTTTTTTCTTCTCCTGTTAAAATCTTTGAGTTCTGTGGGCAATGAAACATATTTCTGGGGAACTTCTTCTGGTACATATATGATCTTCTACATTTTTTTGCAACAGATTCACTCTTTGTGAATGTTCAATTAAATGTCAGATGTTAAGACCATTAAGATACTCAAGCATGTGATTAAGTTGAATGATTTCAACAGAACGTGTACGTGTAAGATCAAGTATCTTCTTTTCCCTTAGGTGGTTTTTTTTTTTTTTGGTGGTGATGCCTTAGTTTTCTATCTGGCTGCAGAGAGTAGCAAAACAATTACAATATCTCTCTGTTATAGAAACAAAAGAACAGTGAAGGGTTTAAAAGCTTAGACCTTACCTCCTCCCTGTGGGGACACTTCTTTCTCAACCATGCCAGAAGTGGACTTCTCACAATACTGAGTTTAAATATTCCTAGATGTATTGGGACTAATAGAGCCAGACTTCCAATAGATTTGTGGCTCATAGTGTGCTGACTTCTTAATTATATTAGACTAGGAATATAGTTTGACCACAGATCATGCTAGATATCCAAAAGAGGAAGAAAGAAAAGGTAGAAGAGGGGACTGGAGGAGAAAGAGACCATGAATATTCCAACCAAGAGGAGTTCTAACATAGAATCATAGAATCATAGAATGGTTTGGGTTGGAAGGGACCTTAAAGATCATCTAGTTCCAGCCCCCCCTGCCATGGGCAGGGACACCCTCCCCTAGACCACGTTGCCCAAAGCCTCATCCAGCCTGGTCTTAAACACTTCCAGGGAGGGGGCATCCACAGCTTCTCTGGGCATCCTGTTCCAGTGCCTCACCACCCTCACAGTAATGAATTTCTTTCTAACATCTAATCTAAATCGACCCTCCTTCAGCTTGAACCCATTACCCCTTGTCCTGTCACTACACTCCCTGATAAACAGCCCCTCACCATCTTTCCTGTAGGCCCCTTCAGAAACTGGAAGGCCGCAATTAGATCTCCCTGGAGCCTTCTCTTCTCCAGGCTGAACAATCCCAACTCTCTCAGCCTGTCCTCATAGGAGAGGTGCTCCAGCCCTCTGATCAGCTTCGTGGCCCTGCGCTGGACTCTCTCCAACAGCTCGATGTCTCTCCTGTACTGGGGCCCCCAGAGCTGGATGCAGTACTCCAGGTGGGGTCTCACAAGAGCCGCGTAGAGGGGCAGGACCACCTCCCTTGACCTGGTGGTCACCCCCCTTTTGATGCAGCCCAGGACACGGCTGGCTTTCTGGGCTGCAAGCGCACACTGCTGGCTCAAGTCTTTCAGGTGTTTGAAAACTTGTGAGTAAAATTTTGATGAAAAAGCAAATTCTCTGGCATGAATAGGACGTTGATTCTGATTTAGTTTTACCTGTGGTTGGACCTTCCACAGTGTTTTTCCCAGTAAGAATTCTGTGATGTTTAAATTGCTGAGCTAATGATGCAGTCTTTCATCTAGTACAAGCACTTAAAGAGCCTTACTTCTCTGTCTATCTCCATATGATATTTTGGAGCTTTGGTACATCTACAGTGTCAGCTGAAAGTGTTAGTGATCTCAAAAGCTGCTAGGAAAGGACAGATGTATTCATTCTGAACCCATTATTCCTGTTTCCTTAGGAAAAATCTATTTTGTTCTTTTCTTAGTTTCTTAAGCATTTCAGGTGAAGAATGTATTTTTCAATGTAAGTTGGATAATCTTTTTTTTTTTCCTTTTCCCTTCCCCCTGGAATTTGTACAGCCTATACTCATTTTTACTGGAAATGTACACCTTAACTTAATTAACAGCTATGAATCTGACTGATTTTCGTGATGCTGCTCTGTTGAAATTAGACATAGGAGGCCCATTTGTAGCAGATGTAGTTGATCAGCAAACAGATGAGTATGTTGTAGTACAAATCAGCCAGACTGAAGATGTTGGATCAAGGAGGAGACACCAGCAGCAGGTGATGGTCTTTGAATTTTCTTCCACTTTTTCTGAGATGTGTTTTATCACTTATATTTCCATCACCATTGTGTTCATTTAAGTGGTTGTGCTTTTTCCTGCTGTGAAGTGTGTCAATGTCAGTATTAGGAAAACTTATTCTAATAAGAGTACATTTTCTTTTGTCTTTATAAGACTTCCTTTAGCTTCCTATATTAAAATTTTTTAAAACTTAGGTCCCTTCACGGACACTTAGCATGGAAGTTCTTATGTTTAAAATTGGCAACGTCTCAAAAGTTGTCTTAGAAGGAAGAAACAAGCGTAAAGTGCCTTTTTGCACTCACTGAAATACATTTTCACATTTTGTTGCAAATTATTTTCTCAAACATGTGTCACATTTATTGGCTTTATTTCTTTTAAGGCTTTCTCATTGTTGATGTTGTTTGTAACAAGTTCCTGCTGCTCTCTCCCGGAGAACTTGGTGAAGAAAGATCTTTTACAGCCTGTCATTGTATATCACTGGAAAACAAAGATAAGCTTCATCATTTAATAAATAGCACTGACATGCAAACAATTGCCTCTCATTCTGTATACGTGACAGGATGGCCTGCCTCTACCTGCAACAGCACAGCTGAACAATGCCAACAGTATTCCCACTTACACCCAATCTCACAGTCTACAGCAAAAGATTAGTCCCACTACCTTGGCATGGCAAACAATACCATAACGGCAATTACTCTCTTAACCCACCCACCCTCACGATGAGGAGGCTGCTGTAACCTGTGCTGGTGGCAACCATCCCCAAGGAACCTTCATGTTGCTGTGGGGTAGCCAGCGCACAGTTGGTTGCAGCAGCCCACCTCTGCTGGTACACCAGTGGTGGGCTTGAAATGACCGAAGGAGTAGGTAGGTAAAATAACCCTCCCTGCCTGCATGCGCCTCAGGCATTTTTCTGTGTCAGATGTTCCAAGCTGGCTGTTGAAGCTTGTGTTTTCCACACTTTGTAGCGCACAAGGTCAGGACTTAGGCTATGATTAACCAAATTGGAAGGTTTTTTAAGTTCCTTTTCTTTATAAAAGAGAGAATATCTGTACCTACATTTAAAGAATACATTTGGTTAAACATGCATGAATATCAGTGTGTAGTAATGAGCAAAGTTTCAGAAAGTGTTTATTTTCTGAAGATTTTTTTTGTTTCTTATTGATAGAAGGTCAGAAAACAGGAATTCTGTTTACTGAAATTCTACCATGCCCTCTTCATAATGTCTGGGGGTATGACATTGCTCCTGGGCCTCTCATCATTTGTACCTCATGTATGTTAGTTTTTTTCTCGGGCATTCTTTGGGAATGAACCATATTTTTGTCTCTGAGCCCAGCTGCCCTAGGTGTTCCTTACAGACAATGCAGAAAATACGATTTGTCATCCCCACTCTGGAGCACTTCCTGGAGGTATCTCTCACTTCATTGATTGAGTGAGGGGATGAGGATGAATTAGCTCCAACCTGAGTGCCTGTACATACCTAGCTAGGTGGAACTAATTCAGGTTGGTATGTGTTATGTCCTGTCCACAAAAAATTCTCCAAAATGCACAGGAGAGAGAACAAAGAGGAATAACCCCCAGATCAGAGACCTATCATTTTCAATTACCTTTATTAATATTGCCAAATGTGACTCTCTTGCAGGTGGTATACAACTGGACTCTACCCTTAAGTTCAAGAAGAAATCAGCAAATCATCACAACTAGAACCTTTCAGATACTGAACAGGTTGGCTAAGAGACTGAGAAATGATTCATTGAAGCTGTAGTTTACATAGACATATTCCTATAAAGGAATAGATAGTATTTTAAAAATAGTCTATCACTGCCTGTTTCAGATGGGTAGGAAAGGATGACTTCTTGTTGCTTTTTAAATGGATTTACAAGGCTGGTTTGTACTTGGGTTACTTTCCAAACAATGTTATTTAGAGGGACAGAGTGAAAATATTTGAAAAGTTGCTTGCAATTGTATAAATATAACACACATACATATATTTATAGATATAAAATTAATGCATAAATAAAACTAATGGTATTTAATTCCATAAATAAGCAAAACTTCTCTTTCTTTCACCAGAGGCACCATCTTCATAAACATTCAAGCTTTCCTACAGGAACCTGGAAGTGTTCCTCTATCCATGAAGCATCAGTACCTTCATGCAAATATAGAGGCACAAGTAACAGTTGCGTCCATCATCTTAGTAGGTGTCTACGTGCTGATCATACTGGAAGTAAGTCATGTTTTGTACTTTGATATTATTTTCCCCTTGCATTGTAAATGGGGCACAAGTAAGGGTTTCATTCTTGGGCTTTAATATGCTTTGAAAATATGTATATGAGTCCTTGCTGTACCATCAATGTTGCTAATGGCATGAATAAGATATGTGTGAGGAAATTGTACTGAATTGTAACTGATTTTGGCAAGTTATATTAACATTACAGTGATTTTGTATTTTTTTTTATTAGGACCTATTAGTGGTTTAATATTTTAACAGGATTATAGCTTGGTGAGAGTGAAAATAAGTCTGTGTTATAAAAGGTGTGGAAAATCTTATGTTAAAAACAATTAGCTTAAAAATAGGCAAAAGAAAAGAAAAGCTTTGGTTATTCCCTTTTCTAAGGGATCTCAAGCCATGAATTTAGTGTACTCTTAAAAGGTTAAACTAAGCACACTTTTTAATGAGTGACATTCAGAAATTCTTTCACTGTTTCATTTAAAGAGGAAATGGAGTCTCAGTTAACACAAAGAAGTCAAGGGACAGAGAACTTTAAATATATATTGCAACTTCATTCCAAAGACTTGAGGTATCAAACCCAGTGAAAATGCCTTGCATCAGCACTACGGATGGAAAAAACATGACAGAAATAGCACAGGGCTCTGACTGACTTCTTTGAACTGGAAACACTTACTGCCTGATTATCTTGAAATAAAGAGCAGATACACAGGCACGATTTTTCTTTTTATTATTCATGTGACTGTACACACTCTCAATGAATTCTCCAAGATGAGTCACACCTGATTTACACTAGCATGAAACCGAGAAGTGAATCAAGTCTACAATGTGGTCAGTAATAACTATATGTCCAGCATGCTCTTTTTTTTTTTTTTCCCCATGTTCCGTGTGTACTTTAAGCTTTTCATCCTGTTACCTATAGAAAGGGTAAGACAGTTGAACAGGTTCTAATCAAATATCAATAATGGGTGCACACAACATGACAGTTGCTTTAGATGGTTAGATTATGTCATTCAGCAATGGTGATTTATTTATGAAACTAAAACTCCCTCTAGGTACTTTATAAATGAGCACCAAAATAATCTTAATACTTTTAAATGCAGCTTTTATTAAAAAAAAAACAAACCCTCAACTATGCAACCCTTTAGCAATTGCAAAAACATCAGGTTTTTAATGTATGTAAAGGTTGAGGTTTTGTGTTTGCATCCTAGAAAGCTACTTTAGAACAATTCATGTGTCAAAGGAAATAAAGGCTTGAAACTGAAAAGCAAAGCCAAGGAAAGCATGCATTTTCCTGTTGTTTCTAAGAAAAAGCTTTAAAACAACTCATTAGTTTATTGTTTCTGTGAAGAGATCAAGGAGAAATTTCTGTAGTTGGCAGAAAAGTTATTTCTGCAAATTCAAATGTAGAAATAGGTATTTACAGGTAAACTTATTTTGAATTTTAAAATGTGGAAAGTCACGTATTGCATCATGTTAGCTGTTTTCTCCATAACACCTGTAGGAATGGCAAATGCTACAACTAGATTAAATTTTAAACTACAAATATATAAGCTGGCAATTGCTATCATAGAAACAAATTTGACTGTTTGGTTCCCTTATGGATCTCTTGAAAGACATGGATGTTAATATTGATAGAATATGTAATAGTGACTTACCTTATATTCAGTATCTATATCTTTAGTGCCCAAAGTCCTGCTTTCTTAACACATTGCACTCCCTATTCCATTAGCAGTTATCACTGTTAGAGAAATCAATTGGTGTTGCTGCAGGAGCGATCTCTCATGGATTTTCATTTTCAGTGTTGCTGCTCCCCATCGTTTATCAGTTTTTATTAGAGTTTCCTGTGTCTTATTCATTATCATTGGCAATACAGGTTCAACTTCAGACAGTGTGGGCACCCAAACAAGTTTTAGAGCTATATTTTCATGTATTTTATTATAATCATGAAGAAAGAGGAAGCATTTTATCTGGTACAACTCACAAGACCACCCAAAGGTGTGCCTGTTGCTCCTGCAGAGCCCTTTTCTCCAAACGTGAATCTTAGATCTTGTGTCCACAACCTCCTCAACCCCATTGTCCTCATCTTTTAATCCTTCCTTCCTTTTCCCCCCTTGCCCTTTGCTACCTTAGTCACCAGGGACCGTGCAGGAGAACAGGTTGCAAGAGCTTCTACCTCCTGCAGATACAGATGATGGGAAAAGCCGATGAAGTAAAGAGATTCCAGTTGGAAAATGAAGTGCATTTGCTGTACATGGTCATCTTTTCCAAACTTGCACCACTGTAAAGACACAGGGTGAATTCTACTTTGAGGCAGCCATTTGCCTCTAAGTTGGCATCAAACTTTGAGGAGGTCAATGTACATCAAGTACCAGTCCTTGTTGGTGGAGAAGTCTTACTGTCTCAGGATGTGTTATTCTTCAGAAAACATGTTAAGCTGTTGAACTTCATTTCTTCAGACATTTATTTTAAGTGTTGTTTCTTTTGAAACTGATTACATGTTATGCATTCATAAAATGCAAATATGTTTCTGGTAAAAGAAGATGCCTCTTTTTCCTCTTTAATTTCTTATGAGTTCTTCTTTTATGCTTACCACAAATATGAATATTTTCTTACTTCACAATGCTACTCTGCCCCTTGAAGTCTCGGTATATCTTGTTTTAACTTTCTTTGGATGGACATCTCTTAGGTACATTTTCTGTTTGAAATCCGTGGGTTTTTTCTTTTTTCCCCTATGTAATCATCCTTTCCTTCAGTAACTAGACATTCATTCTCTTGAAATTGACTTTTCTTCAAATTTCGATCAGTTCACTCTTTGCATTTCAGTCTTCTGTTCCCTCCCCTTCCCCCAGATGAGAAAGGAGAAAAAAATCTGCTTTTTGTAATATTTTTGAAATATATATAATCTATACTATTTTATAGACTTGTTGAAAGGAATGAAATATTTCATTTTGTTCTTGGAAGCCTACATTGCACAGAAAATTGAAACAAGTGTATGTTAAAAAGAAAAAAAAAAAGTGGGCTAGGTTTACCTTTGTTGATCTCAGCTCTACCTTCTGACCCTTCAGAATACTGAAGAACAGGTAAGATGGGCTATAAGTATGTTTTCACGTTGGTCTACAGGGACATCTCATGTAAAGTGCTGATCTACAGAGTTCTGTACTGATGTTGCTGTACTAAATTAGTTCACAATTTATTTCAAGATAGGCTCTTTCTAGTTTTGATCCTCAAAATGTGCAGCCTCTTCCAACTGAGAACTTAAAGAGAAATTCAAACAAAAACATCTTAGAAAAATTTAATTTTTACACTTTTCTTCTCCAAACACCTTTGTTCTTTCAGCTAAGAGTGCTTTTTGTCTTTTACCTTCTTTGATTTCCATTCTTTTTCCATCAAAGCTTTTTTCTATGTATATGACTAAAGTGACTATTTACACCCCATTCACTCAGATTCAATAAGCAGTGGTGTATGGCTGTTTCTGGTGGTACAGCACAGTCAATGAAAAGTAGTGTGGATAAAATATCTTTGTTTCCTCTTTGCAATACTATAAGGTATCTTTGATTTCTCCCCTTTTTCCTGAATTTGTGTACACAGAGAATGGGATAATACACTGGTTATACTGAAAATAAATCTATCATCTGCCTATCTATATATTAAAATATCTGTTAATATTATAAATTTTATTGAGATTTAGAAAAATTTATTGACCTGATAAAGCTCTTATTAGTAATTATTAACTGCATATATGCACTATGTTGGAGCCGCATTAATTAGAAATATGTAAGGAGGAATGTTAAACATGTATTATTAAAGGACAGAGCTCATTAATTTGAATGAATTATTGTGTGCACTTGTGCAATATTTTCCTTTATTAATATATTTATTTCGTGTTGTGGGTTAAAGTGGAATGTTAGCTGTTTATGATACTTAAATGAGCCAGCAGAAACACATATGAGGATAATGTCCTTTTTAAAGCTGTTTTATCAAACATTTTATTTAGTTAGGAGAAAAGAGAAAATAACATTCATTTCATGAAATTAAAAAGAAAAAAGAAAAAAAGAAAAAAAAGGAAAAAAAAGAAAAAAAAGAGATACCAATAGCACATCAAATGGCAGAAAAGTGATACCAGCAAGTATCAGAAATTCTGTGAGAGCCTGCACGAGGCTTGTTTTATCACAGGAGCTATGATTTACTTTCATATCCCGTCTTGTAGGTAGCCCTAAGAAAAATCTTGCCAGGATCTTTCAAATGACATTTTAATGATCTGTCATCTTTAACAACATTTACATGTGTGTATTTCTCCTTAAAATACAAATACTTGAAAGTACATGATCTGGCCCCAAAAGCTCTAGCTTCTTACTAGTGTGAAGTGTGGGTTTATAATCACAATTTTTGTTACTTTTCTAGAAATGGAGAGTGCCAGTTTCTCTCCATATAGCTTTTCTATTATTAACTAGCTTAAATTATGACTAAAGATCCCTTAAGCTTAATTTCTTTAACTCAAAGCAGAGTGATTTTTAATAGCATCTACCCAGGACAAATTAGCTGCAGACAGCAAAACTTTTATGTGGTTCAGTCTGACCATTTTTCTGGCATTGTGGCCTGGTTGAACTGATGTTTCTTCACAGGGAGCATTTTTACAAATAAAATAAGATGTTTATTATCACTGCTGTCTACGCTCACACAGTTCAGTTTTTGCTTATTTCCAGTAATGAGGCTATTTATCTGCACATGGAAAATGCTTCAGAGATGCTTCAGAGAGGGAATAGGAAAACAGAAGAAATATTCACTGGTACACAAAATATAATACTAAGTGATGGCAATAGGCTAATCTTAAGGTAGAATTTTTCCGATGAGGAAAGTCACAGAAACCAGTGATCGGCTTACTCAGCATGGTTTCTCACTTCCCATCCATTCTCATATTGATCTGTCTTTAAATACAGACAAGAGCATGGATTAGAGTGTTCCCACCTTCACATATATACTACCAAAAGATTGGT